CATGGCAGAGGACATCACATGATAAGAGGAGCAAGGCTGCTAGCTTGTGTTTCTCTTCCTCTTCTTAAAAAGCCACTAATGCTACTTGTGGCTTTTTCTAATCCTATTTACCACCCAAAAATCCTATCCCAGATATTATTATATATGAATTTAGGGATTAAATATCCAACATATGAACTTTTGGGGACACATTCAAACCGTAACATCTGTCCAGCATTCAGAGCAGTACTGTTACTGTGCTGATGCCCCCTATGCCTTCCCATCTCATACTGTAAAAGGGAATAGTTCTTCCAGTTGTCTAGGAGCCCCCTCCCTCACCTGCTATCTTTCTGGCTTTTTACAGTCCTCAGACCAGGCTTGCTCTCATTTCAGATTCTTGTACTCAGCGTTACCGTTGTCTGAATTGGTCTTCCCCAAAATCCAGATGGCCCATTTCCTTATTTTCATAGATGGTCTCCTGGAACTTTCTCAACCATGTATACTTTATGTTTAGAAATACAGGGGCCGGTCCTATAGCATAGCAGTTAGACGCTGCACAGAGGAAGCTGGATCTCATTGTAGCTGACCAGAGTTCAAGTCTCAATGGCTTAAAAAACCATGTTGGGCATGCATGTACACGTCCAAGATCCTGAGAGGTTGGGGAATTGAAAGACACGCTGATGTGTGTGTGTGTGCATGCCCAAGATCCAGACAGGATGGGGACTTGGGGAAAAAGCATTGTAGTGTGACCAGGCCCTGTGGGGGAGGGATGATTTCTCTCTCTCTCTCTCTCTTCCCTCATGTGCATGCACACACCCTCTGACATTTAAAAAGAAAAAAAAAGAAGGGAGTGAGGTGGGAGAAATATTTAGATTTATAGTATACAAAGTTTTGCAATCTCCTTTTTGCCCTGCCGTTTGTCATGAACATTTTTATGTCCATGCAGATGTCCACAATACCATGTTCAGTGACTGCATACCATTCCATTGGGGATGTACTGTGACTTACTGAGTTCCCTGTTGGACAGTTCCCATTTAGTTTGTGTGCGTGTGATTTTTAAATAATACTTTAAGGATTTGACATTTGGTGCTACACACCTAATTATTTCCTTAACATAAATATCTAAAATCATAATTGCCAGGTCATAAGGGTATAAACATTTTACCTCATTCCATTAGCAGATTTTTATTTATTTATTCATTCATTCATTCATTCATTTTTCTGTTAGGAAGAGAGGAAAAGGGAAAGAAAGACAAAGAAAGGTATATTTTTTCTTCCACAAAAGAGAGAGAGAGACAGAGAGAGACAGAGAAGTGTCTTCACACCATGGTACACCTGGTAGCCAGCTCTGAATCATGGGAACATGCATGCCTGGCATACTCAGGGTCATCTCTGGACTTGAACCCAAACCTCTTGGTGTGAGTCAGCCCATCAGTGTCATGTTTTACTGCTGAATCAAGTTCCAGCTCCTGGCAAATATTTATTGAGTAAGTAGTTTGGGGTTACTGTTTTTGATAATACTATAAAATCAACTTTCATAAAGCTGAACCAATTCACATACCCATCTACAATATTAGTGCAGATTGAGAAAGAGACCAGTAGCATAGATTTGTTTGGGTTTTTGTTTATTTGTTTTAACTTTTTTTTTAGCAGACTTCAGAAGCCCAGAATTTAGTTAAATTACACCTCAGTATTGGAGAATGGCATCATGCAAATTGTAGTTCAGTGAGGGAGTAGATGAATATTATTGAAATTTTTTTTTTTTTTTGGAGAGATTTTCACTGTAGGGCGCGTGCGCTCGCCAGACAGACAGAGAGAGACATAGAGACAGAAAGCGAGAAATCACCCCCCGGGGGGATGGTCACGCCGCAATCCCTTCTCCTCCATTCTCCTCTCGGGATCTTGGGCACGCACGCACATGCGCCCGGCGTGAGTTTTAAGCCACCGGGTCTGGGACACGAACCGCGGTCGACTACGTGGGAATCCAGCGACATAGCCATTACGCTAACTGCTGGTTCCCAATATTATTGAAATTTTTGACTGTGGTGTTTGGATAGAAAGGCAGGTGAATTCAGAAAACTCCTTACCTCCTGGGGAGGAATTGACAGGGGCAGGAAGGTGGGTGGGTAGGGGAAGTGGAACGTTAAGAGCTCAGGGCCACAGAATAGTTTGTGAGCTCGAGATCCAAGGGGCAGAGTCATTTTAAATCATTAGCAAGTCCAGCTGGGTGAGGTGATGGTGTCTGCTGAGAAGGTGGGATCCTGTGAGGCCAGCATACTGGAGAGATATTCACTGAAAATGCTGCAAATTTCAGTCAGCTGGGCTCTTAAAATGAGAGAAATAGTTTACCATTTTTTTGAAAATGAGCACAACAACCCAATATGTAAGATGTATTCTGAAGAGAAATTTCAAAGTTATGGGCTATTGTCAATCCAGGTCAATGCCAATCTTCTATCTTTTGCAGCTGTAGATTTCAGAACAATGAGAGTCTATCATTAAATGATATGATCATCTTTTCTATGAGGAGTCTTTGAAAAGTTTATGGAAAATGCATGTTATGAGAAACTTATGCATGGATTTCTCCAGTCTTTTTGGACCAAAATAAATTTGTACTTTAATTTCATTTTTCCCATGAACTTGTTGAAATCGCTTTGTATATACTCTTAAAGGTATACTGTGTCATCAAAATAGTGTGGCTTTCTGAAGTGATGAGAACATTCTATTGATCTGGTTAGTTATATAGGTGCGTATATGTCACAGGCAGAATAATGGCCCCCAAAGATGTCCCTGTCCTCATCTCTGGAAACTGTGAATTATGTTTCGCAACAAGAGACTTTATGGATGTGATATGGGGAGGGCTGGACTTATCCAAGAGGGCCCAGTCTAATCACATCAGTCATTGAAACTGCAGAACCTTCCTTGGTTGGGTTAGAAAGGTTTTATCGCTGGAGAGAGACTTCACATTGTTCATTTTGAAGACGGGTGAACAAATGGGGCCTTGAACCTACAAATGTAGGTGACCCTTTAAATACTGAGAAAGGCAAGGAGACGAGCTTCCAGAAAGAAACATAACCCGTCCTGATTTTTAGACTGGGAAGATTTGTCTCACACTTGTGACTACAGGATTATAAGATAATACATTTGTGGTCTTTAAGCCACTAAGGTGTGGTAATTTGTTATAGTGCAATTAGAAACTAATACAACATATATAAAGATTCATAGAGTGGTACTCTTATGATTTGTACATCTGATTCTAAGTAAATTATACCTTGAAAGAAAATGTGGAGACCAGCAGTTAGCCTAATGGCTATGTCGCTGGACTGCTGTTCGAGTCCTGGACCAGGTGACTTAAACTCACACCGGGTGCACGTGCATGCGTGCCCAAGATCCCAAGAGGAGAAAGGAGGAGAAGGGATTGCAGCGTGGCCATCCCCCCTTTGGGGGGTGATTTCTCGCTTTCTGTCTCTCTGTTTCTCTCTGTCTTTCTGGCAAACGCACACACCCTGTAGCAAAAAATAGATAAATAAATAAAAAACCTCTCCAAAAAAAAAAAGAAAAAGAAGAGAAAAAAAAATGTGATGATAACACAAGGGCAAGCAAAAAAATTTTAGTGGACAATAGAGAGCCCAGAAATAGTTCTGTACCTGTGCGTTTTCCTTATTAATGGCAAAGGTGTTCATGAGGAACACAGCAGGGAAGTGATGTTCTTTCAGTCTGTGGAGCTGTATTTATTGGATATCCAAATGGAAAGAGATTAACCCTGACTGCTACCTCATACTCTATACAAAAATTAATTAAAGTGTATTATATCATATACTTGAATGTGGAAGTTTATTAAAACTAAAACTTCTAGTGGCCAGACATGGGTATGGCCACTGTGGGCGGACAATGGTATGTTCTGTGAGGTGATCCCACACGAGAGAGTTAATGACTCATGACTGGAGACCTCCTTGAGTACTTGGTGTGCCCATGATCCAGAGCCAGCTGAAGGCTGTGGGAGGATTGTGGTGTCAAGACTGCTGGGAATTCTACCTGTCTGTCCTCATGAAAAAAGTAAAAAGCAGAGCTTCTAGAAGAAAGTAAATGAATATTCTCACAATTTGAAGTACACAAATCTATAATAGAGCACAAAAGGTACAAACCATTAAAAATGTTTGATAAGTTCAGCTTCATTTATATTACATTTTTTTTTAAACCAGAAAACACCATTAGGAGAGTGAAAATGCAGGCCTCAGGGAGGAGATATGTACAGTGCATACAACTGACAAAGGAGTCTTATCTGTAAGATGTATAAGACCTATACAAACAATAAGAAAAAGGCAAATAACTTAATAAATGCGTGGTTGCTCCTGGGAAAAGACCTAAATCTCTGCTAACTAGAATGACGTAATAGTTTATGGGACTGACTGTGGAGTTAAGCAGACTTGGTATAGAAGCTAGCTTCAGTACTTACCACCTGAGGGATTTGAAGCAAATTCATGTCTTATAACTCATTTCTTCATTGATAAAATAAAAATAATAATATTTACTACATAAAGCTATTGCAAGGATTAAAGGAGGTCATACATGTCAAATGTTTAGCAGAGCGTGTGGTGGGTTATGATTGTTGTGATTGGAGCATTCATCTAACCACAAGAGTCATTCTTGAAGTATTGGCATATTTTCATTTGGGGGGAACTAAGAGGAAATTTGAACCTAAATCATATGTTCAACAATTTGAGATGCTTAATAAATAGATATGGTCATATGTTAGCAAATACCTCATCAGCTCTGTCAGTTCAGAAAAGAAAAAAAAAAATCAATGTAGTACATCTTTAATTATGTGCCCCTCTCTCTGGTTACAGGGAGCGAGAGACAGGGATACAACGCCAACCATGTCTCTTCAACAGATTCAGTCATAGTATTGTTAGGCTTGAACCTCTTGTTGTTCCTATATATATATATATATAATAATTATTAAAATGTATATATTAAAATATATTATTATTCTAATTTGAGTTATTTCTGACATTTTATTCTAGAAAACTATTCTACCAACCATGTTGGAAGCCACAATGTTGGGAATTATGTGGCCCAAACTGCAGGTGGTGTACCTGTGTCTGTGCAGGGAGTGGCTCCCCACACTGGGGGACTCTCTAAAAACCATGAGTCTGGCCGCTTATCAAAGTCCCCACAATCCACTGGAACGGTGGCACCACAGAAGTGCTTTTTACAGATCAAAGGCATGACCTGTGCGTCCTGTGTGTCTAACATAGAAAGAAATCTTCAGAAAGAAGCTGGTAAGAGATCTACAATCATGTTGAACATGGGAATGCTGTGTGTATATATGACTGCAAGATTCCCTTCAGCATCCATGTTGACTGCATTCATCAGTAGCCCTGATAATCTGGTAGCAAGTGCAACATAAGATAGTATAGATGTTCGTTTCAAGTTTTTGTGCAATTGGTATTCTGTTCTTTAGGAAATATTTAGTTTGAGATAAAATACATCAATTTAAATGTCATGGTGCATTGTATGGATGGACTTCTCAATTAGCTTGTCTAGTAGTATTCTTTTTTTCCTCTCATCCCATCAACCCTTATCTATAAAATGAATAAATAGCCTGCATTTTGTGGAGTTTCAGATATACTGCCATATTGACCCTTTGAACCATAGGGTGTTACGGAAATGCCAGAGTTCTGTCCTTCAAACTTTATTTCCAGTGCTCTCTCTTAAACCTGAAAAGGCAACAAAAGTCCTGTCTCCTTTTCGTTTGGAAAAGATCTTAACTGTGTGTCTCCTTCCTGCAAAGTTGCTTTCTCTCTTTCCTTATCCCAGTGACTCTGTTTCTCTTTCTGCTCAGACTCCTGGGTCCTTAAAATCAACCTTAAATCAGGATGGCATCTTTTTCTTTCAGCCCCTTGTCCACTGTGTTTTGTAGCTTCCTGGAGCTCTAGAATGACTGCTCTCAAATTGAGGTATTATTACAGGAATTTGTTTGTCATCCATGGATTGTCTGCTTATAAAATTAATTTATAATCTCATAGTCTCCTTGTTTCTGTTCCTGACTTGAATCTCTCATTTCTTATCCCTATGGCTTTACTTTCTAAAGCACATCATTCCTTTCATTTGTTGGATAAGCCTTTTTGCTTCCATTAAACTACTGGGTCACCCAATAGAACAATAATGTTAGCAAGGTAGTCCATGGGATTTCAAATCTGGGACTTGAAGTTTCCATAGTTGGACATGAGGGACTCAGAGCCTTAACCTCCATGTTACCTCCAGTAGTCCTTTTTTAAAATTTTACTTTATTTTTTTGGTTATTTATTTCTTCCATGATCCAGAAAGACAGATTGATGTGGGGAGACTGCACCCCCAACAGAGTCTTGAAGCATCAGCCTTAGCCTGCCCTGGATCATGGACACATGCATGCCCATGTATGTAGGGAATGCTCTAGATATACACTGGGAACTTTCCCATGTAGATTAGCCTCTCAGAGCATGGTGTTTTTACCACTGTGTCATTGTCTGTCCCCCTGGAATTTTTCACTCCTGAAAGTCATTAGAAACTAAAAAAGGGTAAAGAAAAGTCCTTTTGAAAATTCTTTATTTGCTTTTATATGAAACTGTCTGGAGAGACAAAGTGTTCCCTTTCTATAATAGTAGTTGATGACTGTAGGCTGTATTCCTTGCTTCAGTGTGCGTGGATCATCAGTATCTTCTAAAGCCTGACTCTGAGTGTGGTCTAGGGGCCGGTATCATGGGCATAGCTTGGGAGCCGGGTAGACGTGCAGAATCTCAGATCTTGTCCTAGACACCCTGAGTCAGAATCTGTAATTTAACAAGGTCCTCAGGTTATTCCGATGCCCATTAAAGACTGAGGAGCATTATTCTAGAATAGTGGCTCTTGAACTTTTATACAGAAACATGCCTGGCATCCACCCTGAGAGATTCTGATTCCTTCGGTCTGGGTTAAAGGTCGCAATTTAACAACTATGATTTTTTAAATTGCCCCACACTGCCCTAATGTACACCAAGCTTGAGAACCACTGTTCTAGCGGCTTCTGGGGAGATGTTTTTCTTTGTTAGATTGTGTTGACTTTCACTCCAGAGGCCTTGCTCAGAGTGTGACGACTGTGACCTGATGGTTCCAGGTGTGCTGTCCGTGCTGGTTGCCTTGATGGCAGGAAAGGCCGAGGTGAAGTATAATCCAGAGATCATTCAGCCCGTCGAGATAGCTCAGCTCATCCAGGACCTGGGCTTTGAGGCAGCCGTCATGGAAGACTACACAGGTTCAGGGGGCGACCTGGAGCTGATTGTAAGTATGGTGGCTGCATTAAGAGGGTTACAGACCTCTGACAGTTTGTAGATGACTTTCTGACAGCAGCCATCTTTGGGATCAGTAATTACCTGCATCTTGGATCTATCCTGTTTGTTGTTGTCGGTTTTTTTGTTGTGTTGTTTTCCTTTGAAGCCAATGCCAATGACCTGTTCATTTTGGGAAGGTTATGTCAAGATGTCATAGAAGGAAAGGCCACCAAATGCATTCAGGGTGTTAGAGAGGAGGTAAATTGCAGGAATATTAGAGAAAGAGAAATTAAAAATGGTGACTTGGGGGAGATTGTATATAAACAGTCTTTTCAAGCCTGTAGAGAAGCTTGAATGCTTGCAGGTACTGAGGCAGGAGAAGTGAGTCAGTATTGTAGTGAACACCAATGAAAGATGGAGAGGGCCTGTTTGTAGGCACAGAGTCCAGAAGGTACCTAACTACTGGCACTGTTAGAGGCAAATGCCTACAGTGGTGTTCCTTGTATGTTTTTTTCTTTCTTTCTTTCTTTCTTTTTTTTTTTTTTTGAGCTGGGGAGGCGTTGTTTCTTATCTGTCCGTTGTTAGCGGTTGTACATGTCAACACATCATTGAAAACAATGGGTAAGTCTGGTATTTAGACGTGCTATATTAGAAGGCACTTGTGTTAAAAATTCTGTCTAAACAAAGGGAGACTTAGAAGAAACCCACAAAGAATTGAGCAATGCTATTTTACTCAGGAGATAAGAGTCTTTTGGTTTCTTAGTGTTTATTCACTGCCATTAGTGGTAAGTAAATGTTTGAAGAGAATGTTTTTTTTTTTTTTTTTTTTTTTTTTTTTTTTGAGCTGGGGAGGCGTTGTTTCTTATCTGTCCGTTGTTAGCGGTTGTACATGTCAACACATCATTGAAAACAATGGGTAAGTCTGGTATTTAGACGTGCTATATTAGAAGGCACTTGTGTTAAAAATTCTGTCTAAACAAAGGGAGACTTAGAAGAAACCCACAAAGAATTGAGCAATGCTATTTTACTCAGGAGATAAGAGTCTTTTGGTTTCTTAGTGTTTATTCACTGCCATTAGTGGTAAGTAAATGTTTGAAGAGAAAGCTAGAGAGCCAGAGTGGCACACTGAGCGGCTGATAAGCAGTATTCTTTATAGAGCAAACCATCCCTGTATGTTGAGGGGCAGAGTTAATGTGTGCTGGGTTACAGCTCAAGCCAGCCCTGTAAGAAGGGCCCCTGCTACAAACTTCCAGATCTATATGTGGATACCTCTGCTTGAGAATACTATGTGGGAAATCTAAAGCAAACTATTAGTGCAAAATTTTTAAACAAATTTGCCAGAGAGTACATGTACCCACTGGAGAGACAGACGGAGAGGGAGAAAATACCCTCCAGTGGGGAGTTATCACACCACAGCCCCTTTTCCATTTCTCTACCCTGTTGGGATTTGGGTCTGTGCACACACCTGGCTAATGTGTTTTTCAAGCTGCTAGGTGGGATTTGAACTGCGATCAGTCATGTGAGATTCAGTTCTCTTACCTGAAACCTGGAAACTCTTTCTTTCTTTCTTTCTTTCTTTCTTTCTTTCTTTCTTTCTTTCTTTCTTTCTTTCTTTCAATTTTTATTTAATTTAATTAATTAATTAATTAATTATTTTGTTAGAGGGCACATGTGCTGGCCAGAGACAAAGAAGAGTAAGAACATGCTCCCATGGGGAATGGTCATGCTGCAATCCCTTTTTCTTTATTTCTCCTTTCAAGATTTTGAGCACACATGCATACACACATGCCTGGCATACTTATTTCTTTTGAGAGAGAGATTTTTGCTGTATGGTGTGTGCACTCACCAGAGAGACAGAAAGTGAGAAATCATCTTCTATGGGGATGACCACACTGCAATCCCTTCTCCAACATTCTCCTCTCAGGATTATTGGGCATGCACACACATATACCTGGCATGAGTTTTAAGCTGCTGGGTTTGGGACTTGAACTGTGGTTGACTACATGGGAGTCTAGGGACTTAACCATTATACCCTCTGCTGTTGCCAACTGGCATGCTTTTTGCCCACCTGGGACTTGAACCATGGGGTTGTCATGTGGGATCCAGCTGCCTTAACCACCATGCCATAGTCTGGCCCTGAAAACTTTTTTTAAACGTTAGTTTTATTGCAGTGTTCTTTTTTTAAAAAAAAATAATTATTTTATTTAACTTCATTTATTTATGTACTTTTTTTTTTTTAAATTTGACTAGAGAGGGACAAAATAAAGAGAGAGAGAAAGAGAGAGGAATTGAGAAAGCAAGACACCAGACCAGGTCCAGCACTGGGACTGCAATCGACCATGTAGGAGTCCAGTGCCCTTAACCACCATGCCATCTGCCAGCCCCTACAGTGTTCTTTTTAAACTCTATCAATAGATTGCCATCACATGTACAGATACTTCTGAGAACTTTTGTATTTAATTAATATCCTAGGAAATATTGACCACTTATATTCTGAAGAGTGAATTTCTGGTTTGCCTAATACAGTTGACCCTCGGTATCTACAGGATATTGGTTCTAAGACTCCATTGGGGGTACGAAAATCTGTGGATGCTCAAGTCCCTTATATAAAATGACATAGTCTCTGCAAAGAACCTACACAGCCTGTATTTAAAATTTTCTCTAGATTACTTAGTACTACCTAATATGACGTGAATGTTATATAAATAGTTGTCATACGGTATTTTAAAAATTTGCAGTATTTTTTATTGTGCTGTTATTTTTCATTTTATTTTTTTAAGACTTTTTCTTTTTGTTTTCTTTTAGTTTGCTATAGGGTGTGTGTGCCAGAGAGAGACACAGAGAGAGGAAGGGACGGGGAGAAATCACTCCCCAGTGGGGATTGCCATGCCATAGTCCCTTCTTCTCTTGGGGTTCTGGGTACCCATACACATGTGCCCAGCAGTTTTTAAGCCACTGGATCTGAGACTCAGACCACGCTGTTGACCACGTGAGATCCAACTGCTTTAACCTCCATGCCACTTGCTGGTCCTCTAATACTATTTTTTTAATACGTGGTTGATCAAATCTGTGGTTGTTGATACCCAAAGATACAGAGAGCCATCTGCTTATATTCCAGAAATAGCATGGCACCTTTCAAACTCCTCTTTCTCATGTCAGGATGTCTGGCAGAAGTGGCATAGGCTTTTGTTGGGTTTAGATTCTGGCTCTGTCACTGCAGGGACTTTTTTTTTTTTTGGTGAGGTTTTTGCTATAGGGCACGTGCGCTTACCAGAAAGAGAGAGGCAGAGAGACAGAAAGTGAGAAATCACCCCCAGGAGGGATGGCCATGCTGCAATCCCTTCTCTTCTATTCTCCTCTTGGGATCTTGGGCATGCATGCACACACACCCGGCGTGAGTTTAAGCCACCAGGTCTGGGACTCGAACCGCAGTCAACTACATGAAAGTCCAGCAACATAGCCATTATGCCAACTGCTCGTCCCACTGCAGGGACATTTTTGACTCTGGTCTGTGAAGATATGTCTCACACTGCAGATAGCGGCAGCTTAGAGCAGACTCTGGAGCTAGACCATCTGAGCATCTGCCTTTCATGGATTGTGTGGCCTTGAACCGTACAGTTTTGAGACCTACCTCATAGGGTTGATGTGAGCAGTACAGTGCCTGGGATAGTCCTTGGTGCATTGTAAGTGCACAGTCAATGCTGCCCTATTGCTGTAAAAATAGAAGGACAGCTTAGAAGAACCATTGAAATATCTGTAGATGTGCAGCCCTAGTCATGTCATTGCAATGCCCCTCTGCCTCAGTGGCTTTGTATCTATCAAATGCCAACTGAGTGTCACTTTTAGCCAAGTGCTCAAGAGCCTTCATGCTGGGGACTCAAACAACACTGCAGACCTCCCTCCTCTTCCTCACGCATCCTGTGCCTAGCTGAACCTGGCTGCTAATGGTGGCCTGTACGTCTAGTGCTGCCCAGCCTTGTGTCTGTCCTGTGCTTCTCCTTCTATTGTCACCCTTGCTTGCACCTGCTGACATACTTTGGGACCACCACAGATTCCACCTCTTCCTTCAGTCACTTCCTAAATACTTTCCCCTTGTTGATAATGAAGTATTGACATTGTCACATTTGGAGCCAGCAGAGCACTGAAGTAGGGAATTGGTTCTAAGACCCCCTTGGGAGGATCCTAAAAGCAGTACCCAACGACTGGTACTAGCAGTAGCTACAGATGGTTACCAGCAACACTTGGGATTGTAGAGTGTTTCAGGAGTTCAAAAATCCTCACCCTTTGGAGACAATTATCCCGGTATTGTTGGTAAGATAACCAAACCAAAAGTGTAGAGTGGCTCATAAAAGCCCAGCTTGCCTGAGGTCTGTTACCATGTGCTCAGTGATCGGCTGTCTCCTGTACTTGAGTTGGGGCACAACTACTGTTTATATCCTTGACGCTGCTGGGTAGGGAAGGGCAGGGAGTTGTTCAAGGTGGGAGCCTTGCACATGGGATTTGGATATGGGAGTCCAGAATCTTTGGAGGGATGCTGGGGAGGGGAACAGGCATCCTTCCTGAGCTGTCTGTTACACAAACTGTCTGGGTGCCTTTGATAGGCTTCTCTGGATCCAGGTCCATGGGATTTTTGTCTTCCTGTACACAGATCACTGGGATGACCTGCGCTTCCTGTGTTCACAACATAGAGTCCAAGCTCACAAGGACAAATGGCATCACCTACGCCTCTGTAGCCCTTGCCACCAGCAAAGCCCATATTAAGTTTGATCCTGAAATTATTGGTCCACGGGATATTATCAAAATTATTGAGGTAAGGCATTCATTAACAATTTATACTCACTTAAAAAAAAACAGTAATATGTGATCATGGCAGAAAAATAAGAAAATATTGCTAAGAAAAAAAAAGTGAAAATCACCTAAAATCCTTCAACTTTTCTCATAGAAATAAGAGTAATCATTTTAAAATAAACTGTGAAGATAAGCAAATATCAAATAATCAGAGGGAGATCTTCAGTGAATTTTTAAGGGGAAAAAAGGAGGAAAAAGACATTTAATTTTACATATTCCCTGAGAAACATCAGTGTTGCCAAGAGACCTGTGTACACAGGGTTAAATTACCTAACTGTAATTTTTAAGTATCATTTATGTCCATCCCAAGTGTCTGTAGTCCAAACAGTGTTAGCATTGGTAAGAATTATACCACATTTTGCCACTGTGCTGGACCTGTTTTATTGTGGGACAACTGGTCCTTTCTGCTTCAGAAAATCAATTAGAAATTTTATGTATGTCCCCCCGCCGCCCCCATGTGTCTACCAACACTGCATTTCCATTTTAAGGTCTATATTTTCTACCAGATCATAAGAGAGTGGGCATCAAGGGTGGTCTGAATGGGTTAAGACAGTCAAAATGGAACAAGATTTACTTATAACAGCTAGTGGTAAGGATAAATAAAGTTTAGCAGGAACTATTACTTATGAACTAACTTCTGAAATTAAACATATTATTGCAGACTTCATGTAATGACTTTAGTTTTCTTGTGTGTGTGTGTGTGTGTGTGTGTGTGTGTGTGTGTGTTTAAAGAGAGATGTTGTCTGTGGTATGGCCTAGCAAGAGCTTTTTGACATGGAAAGGATGCTGCTGCTAGTGTGACTCACCCTTGGACGCAGGAAACGCAGCTGTTTTATCAAATGAGGAGAGATCCTCAGAAAGGTTAAGTGACTTGGCTCATGGGTATCCAGCTCACAGGTGGCAGAATTGGCACTCAAACCCCGGTCCTACAGTTCCAAGCTTGGTGGCATCTCTATTTCTACTATACCACAAATAAAGAACAGTAGTGATGTGGCACCGATGAGGCAAAGAAGTCAGGCTGATGGATTAAAAAGTAAGGACAGTCCCAGGTGGTCCCTTGGAATACATCTCGGTTACCCTTTCCTGCCATCCCCAGCCCACTGAGCTTGGTGCAGCATCCTTTCTGTCCTTATCTGAGGAATATTGTCAATGCCAGGCCTTCGATCTTACGTTCTGGGCTTTTTTTCCTGATATACTTGCTCTTTCTCCACCATAGCTTTTTTTTTTTTTTCTTTTTTCTTCCCCCCCCCCCCATAGAATTCATGTACTCGTGAAGAGGAGAGATAGGGGGAAAGTGAGAAATCACCTCCCCTGCTCAGGAGAGATGACCATGCAGCAATCCCTTTTTCTCTGTTCTCCTCTCAAGATTTAGGGCATGGGGAACCAGCAGTTAGCGTAATGGCTATGTCGCTGGACTCCCATGTAGTCGACTGCGGTTCGCATCCTGGACCCGGTGGCTTAGACCTCACGCCGGGCACGTGTGCGTGCGTGCCCAAGATCCCAAGAGGAGAATGGAGGAGAAGGGATTGCGGCGTGCCCATCCTCCCTGGGGGATGTTCGCTCGCTTTCTTTCTCTATGTCTCTCTCTGTCTGTCTGGTGAGTGCACGTGCCCTATAACGAAAACCTCTCCAAAAAAAAAAAAAAATAGGTCATGTACACACATGTGCCTGGAACAATTTTCTAACTATGGTCGGGTGTATGGTAATCCAGTTGCCCTAACCACCACGCCACCTGCTGGTCATTCCACCATAGCTTTGAATTTTGTGTAAAAGTCTCAGCACCAGGATTATGAGAGCCCTTTCTGTGTTGTGCTAACTGACATTTGCTGACAGTTTTTCCTGAGTCTATTCACAAAGAGTATCAGAGACTCTGTGATCAGATCAAGGTGGTTGAACACTTCAGTTAATCTGTGAGAAAAGTACAAAAGTGAGGCTTTGTATCTCAAGTGACACTGGAAGCCAAACTTCCAATCCTTAAGGACAAGTTCAGCTTTTAGTAGACATAAGCCTGATTGAAGGCCTGGGGATCAGGCCTGGGTTCAGCTCTTTTGATAACATTGGTCTTTGGGCAAGGTATTTAACCTCTCTTCCAGTGTCCCCATGCATGGAATGAAAGTACCTGACCATTTGTTATTTGGGATTCCTTAACACAAAAATTCTGAGTCAACACTGATCAGCTTTGGGACCTGGTGAAGTTACCGTCCCAGGATCCACTGCCTTTGCCAGCAGAAGGTTGGCCTCTAGATGTCGTCTCGGGAACTGAGCTTTCTCTAAGCATAGATGGGTGCTGAAACTCTGAAAAGGATATGTTGGGCAATTTGGGTAACGACATGGTGAGAGGAAAATCTCCTAGTCTTCTGAGGCATTTTTAAGTTCACTTTCTGATTTCCAAAGCATGTTTTAACCAAGTAATTCCTTCCTATTCTCCACCCCTCTCTCTTTAATAACAAGGAAATTGGCTTTCATGCTTCCCTGGCCCAGAGAAACCCCAGCGCTCATCACTTGGACCACAAGATGGAAATAAAGCAGTAGGTAGAACACAAAAGATAAACTGTAGCTCTTGTTTAAGTGTCTTTCTCTCCCTGGACCCAACTCTGGCTCATTCTGTGCAAGTGGCCTACATGCTTGTCAGTCTTCATGCTGCCTTGTCTCCGCCCACTGTGCCTTTCCTCCGGATTAGTTGCCTTTACTCTTGTAATATTAACCCCTAAAACAATGCTGCTCAGTGAAGTTCCACAATGCAGGCAGTATTTTCTGTGTGTACTGCCCAGAGTGGCAGCTTCCAGGCATGCATGGCTAGTGAGCACTCGACATGCAACTGGTGTGGCTGTGGAACTGAATTTCTAATTTTAATTAATTTCAATTTAAATAGTCACCTGTGGCGGCTAATAGATTGAGCAGTGCTCAAATCGGGAGGGAGGGGGGCATATAGTTTTTTTCCTTTTATATTATCTGTAGACTTTATTTCCATGGGTTCTACAACTGTGATTCAAGGATAGTGTCACTAATGAATGGAAAGAGAATGGTCTGAGAAGCAGACTTGGATTCATTCATTGTTTCAGAAGGTCTCCTATTTACTGGCTAAACTTCATGGCCACTGTCATGTCCTGGGCCCTGTGCCAAGGCTGGGGTTGAATGCATAGAATATCATTCCTACTGTAGAGAGGCCCATAGTCTGGTTAGGAAAGAGTAAGGGAGCAATGACAGCAGTGGTTCAGCTAGATTTTGAAAGGTCTAGGAAACCTCCAAGCAGGCAACACAAGATCTGAACCTCCAAGAACAAGTGGAAGTTTGTGAGGCTCCAGGGAGGGGCAGGGTGTAAAGGTCTCTAGGGACCTTCAGGGGCTCCTATGGTTTGGTCTGATTGGCCTGCCTGGGGTGTAGGAGAGACTGGCAGGAGAGGCCTAGGGACAGCAACCTGAGCGTGTAGGGCTTGAGTCTTGCAGGCCTGGGGTGTAGGAGAGACTGGCAGGAGAGGCCTAGGGACAGCAACCTGAGCGTGTAGGACTTGAGTCTTGCAGGCCAGTGGTTCTGAGACAAAGTGTTTGGTACATTAGAAGTTCCACAACCACTTGGTTGGAATTTCGATGATGCTACTGCTAATGTGAGACCATGGCTGTCACCTGTGACCCCACCAATTTCCAACTTTAGTGTTGAGACAGTCCCACTGTTCTTACTGACTCTATTTTAAATAAAATGGTTTTAAAATGGAATTGAATGTATAAATAAATTTATACTAATAAAGTATTGCTTTTACTTATTTTCTTTGTGGGTCTGTATAAGATTGCATTTTGAAAAAAGAGCTGCAGGCACCCACAGACTGAGGCTGTTCAACCTCTTTGGGGCTAGAGTCTCAGCTTCTAGGTCTCAGTTGTCTGGCTTGTAAATTGGCAGTAACTTCGGGTAGATGAAGGTAAGGGTTGGGCTTGAACATCTCTAGAACATCCTTGCAGCAAGGTTTAGACTTTTAGAAGCTTCTCCAGGTAGCTCTTGCCAGGGAGAGCTTTATTTTCCTTTTAACCCTTGGTGGTCTGTGCCAGATGCTTGACAAAGGAAATCTTAAACTGAGTCCTCAGATGGGAATACACTGTGGCCAGTATATCTGTGTTGCTGCATTTGCTTTCCAGGTGGAAGAAGTCTTTCCTGTGTAGCCTGGTGTTTGGCATTCCCGTTATGGGCTTGATGATCTACATGTTAATACCCAGCAATGAGCCGCATGAGGCGATGGTCCTGGACCACAACATCATCCCAGGACTGTCCATTCTGAATCTCATCTTCTTTATCTTGTGTACCTTCGTACAGGTATGTATTAGAAAGATGGGCAAACCTGTGCCTCCATGCCCATGTGTGGCCAGTGGATGCTCTGCTCTCTTAGGCCAAACACAGCCCTTTAGCTTAGTTTAAGTAGCACTTTACTACGCTCTCCTGCCTCACCCCAGATGGTTGCTTTTCTTTTTTTTTTTTTTTTTAATTTTCAGGGGAGGGGATAAGGCTTGCCATGTTGCCCCACTGGCTGTCATTACGAGAGACTGAGAAGTGCCGCTTCACAGTTATTGCGTGTGCTCAGAACTCTCCCCGAAAGTGGTGAATCTGAATGTCTCCAGTTTCCTTACTGTTGAGCTTAGTTTACCTTTGTTGTCAGAAGTGGCAGCTAGATCAGCCTGGTGCTTCCACTGCTTTTGAAATGGTCTTGTATGCCCTGAAAGACAGAGATGTGGTCCTTATCTTGGAGGAAGTTATAATGTAAAAGAGGTCTTATGGAATATCTACTCTGGTGGTGGTACTAAGGCACTAGCCAGGTTTCTGGTGGGAAGTAGGCCCTCTATGAATATATTGGAATATAAAACTCCGGACTCAGGAGCCAATAGGTGGAATGGATGTGTTGGAACCTCACACATGGCCAACCAAAGTTCGAGTCCCAGACCCACAATTTGAAAAATCACACTCTGAGTGTGTGTGTGTGTGTGTGTGTGTGTGTGTGTGTGTATGCGTGCCTAAAATCCCAAGAAGAGAGCAAAGAAGGGATTGTGGCATGGCCATCTCCACAGGGGTGATTTCTCACTTACCCTTTCTTTGTCTCTCCCCAGCCAGGTCTTGCACCCTATGGAAAAAAACTAAAAAAAAAAAAAAAAAAAAACAAGAAAAACTCCTTCCTTGATATTTGGGTTTAGAACTATTTGGGGGCAAGCATTTTCAGGTTAATTTTTTTTTCTGTGTTTTCTTTCCCTTTTTTCTGCATATGTATTTTTCTGTTTACAAATGGAATATACCACGGTAGTAAGCATTTCAGACCCTACTGAAGTAGGAGAAAAGGGATTTTTTTTTTATATTCACATTTTGTATACATTCCAATCCCATATCCCAGTATTAATCATAATATTATTAATAATTGTAATTGGGCTTGTATCTTTCAAGATAGTCATCCATTTAGAGAAAAACACACCTGTGTATATACATGTTTATATAATAAAGGCGAAATAAGATTGTGTGAGATACAGTGATATAAAACTGGCCTTTTCACTTAACCATGGGTCATGGACATCTTTTTTTTTTTTTTTTTTTTTGAGAGGTTTTTCACTATAGGGCACGTGCACTCGCCAGACAGACAGAGAGAGACATAGAGACAGAGAGCCAGAAATCACCCCCCAGGGGGGATGGTCACACCGCAATCCCTTCTCCTCCATTCTCTTCTCGGGATCTTGGGCTCACACGCACACGTGGCTGGCGTGAGTTTTAAGCCACCGAGTCCGGGACACGAACCGCGGTCAACTATGGGGGAGTCCAGTGACATAGCCATTATGCTAACTGCTGGTTCCCGGTCATGGACATCTTTTATGCCAGCCATTTATAGATATGATATATTCTCTTCAGGCACTGCATAGCATTGTCTACAGTTAAATGAGTCATGATATTTTTGACCATTTTCACAGTTCTTCTATTGGTGGAGATTTATGTTGTGTGCTCTAGATTTCAAGGTCTCACATGTGCTTAGTCATCTATTCCTATGGCTCGTAGCCCTCTGAATCAGAAAGTACATTCCATGAATGTCAACCATGGAGGAAAAAGCAGTGTTAAAATGGTCAAGAAACCTAGAGTGTTTGTCTTACCGAGGGGCCTATGGACCTTGAGCAGCTTTTGCACTCAGCCCTGCTCATTAACAGCCTTCTCTCTCATTGTCTTTCAGTTCCTTGGTGGGTGGTACTTCTATGTTCAGGCCTACAAATCCCTGAGACACAGGTCAGCCAACATGGACGTGCTCATCGTCCTGGCAACAAGCATTGCCTATGTCTACTCTCTGGTGATCCTGGTGGTCGCAGTGGCCGAGAAGGCTGAGAGAAGCCCTGTGACGTTCTTTGACACGCCCCCTATGCTGTTTGTGTTCATTGCTCTGGGACGGTGGCTGGAACACGTGGCAAAGGTAACCACAGCGTCAGGTTAAGAAAGAGCTGTTCCTTTAGTAATATAAGTCTCAATTTATCTCAATTCCTTGTTCAGAATTTCTAATTATATACAATATAAAGAAAGACTTTAAGGAAATACAAAACCTACATATAATTAAGGGCTTTGGTCACTAATCTTCAAATCGGTCACTACTTCTGAAATCCCAGCTAATCTGGTTAATTATTAAAACCTTTGTTGAAGTATATTATGTAATGGAGAGAACCCTGGACTTAGGTCTGAGCCCATATCATCTCTTAGTACATAACTAAGTATAGAGTTCACTAGCATAGAATCTATATTTCCACCTCAGTGTCATGCTAGTGTGTGTGTGTGTGTGTGTGTGTGTGTGTGTGGTGCTTTAGACAGGGTCTTACTGTGTTGTGATCCCCTGCCTCAGCCTCCCAAGTAGCTGGGACTACAGGCATGTACTACCCAGCAAACCTGGGCCTACCATGTGGCCCCAGCCTGCCAAGCAGGACCCTTGGTGTACTGCTGCCATTGGACCAGGATCATTCCATTTTTAATACCCTGTGCTGAACTCAGCATCGTAGTGTATTCTATAAAAGAGAGTAAGCCAGCAGGTGGCATGGAGGTTAAGGCGCCAGATCCCACATGGCTGGCATCCTACATGGTTCGAATCCCAGACTAAGCAGCTTAAAAATCACACTGGGTGCGTGTGTATGGATGGCCAAGATCCCAAGAGGGCAAGGGAGGAGAAGGGATTGCAGTGTGGCCGTCCCTTTTGGGGATGATTGCTAACTTTCCTTTTCTCTGTTTCTGACTCTCTCTGGTGAGTGCATGTGCCCTATAGCAAAACTAAAAATAAATAGGTGAGAATCGGGCCATAAATGCAATTCGGTTGAATGTAAAAGAAAATGAGTTGTAGACTGGTATTTTTTTCTCAATGAAATGAAACTACTAGAATTTTGTAGCACAGGCATTTTCATTCAGAGTGACAATGATTCCTGTGGCTACAAGTCCATGTGCAGTGAGCCACACTCACCCCGTAGACCTTTGTCATGCAGTGCGTCTGTGTTAGGAAGAACCTTTTTCTGTAGATGTTTTCTCTCAGCCATCACAGGTCAGTTTACAATAGCTCTCATTTTACATTCTGGTTATTTTGTAGAGCAAAACCTCAGAAGCCCTTGCCAAACTCATGTCTCTCCAGGCCACAGAAGCCACTGTTGTGACCCTTGGGGAGGACAACCTAATTATTAGGTGAGTGATGTGCATCGGAAGTGCTTGAGATCCGTCTATGTCAGCCTGTGTAGTGTGCATCAGATCCCCATTGTGTAGTGATGTTGCAGTAGACACTGGAGAGCCAAGACGTTCTCAGCAAATTGCTCCTCAACAGGCTAAATGGCAAGTGAGGTACAGGTGATTAGCATCCTGGGGATTTCGAAGAAGAAGACTAGCGGTGGCCCAGGAGGACTCCACAGAGAACATGAAATGGAAATTGGTCTTCCTTGAGAGATTTGGAGAAGTCAGACAGACTGACAGGGGTTTCTCCTTACCAGAGATTTCAAAATGGGAGTAGCATTGATCCACATAAGGTTGCCTGATATTTAAAAAGTAATAATGATTATCATTATTGCTGGACACTATTACATAGCATTTGCTGTTTGCTAGAAACTATTTTAACCTCTTTGTGTTTAATCTAACAATAAAAACCAGTCTTTATGAGAAGAGACTTTTCTTACCCCTGTTTCACAGATAAGGAAACTAAGGTTTGGGAAGGCCAAGCAACTGGCCCAAGGCCACACAGGTATTAAGTAGTGGAATTGGGGTGTAATTCAGCCTGCTGGTTCCAGAGTCCATTTTCTTAACTTTATCCACCCTAGCTCTTAAAGTTTATTTATTTATCTATTTATTTATTTATTTAAAATTTCCCAGAGGGCATGTGTGCTTGCCGGAGAGATGGACAGAGAAATGGGGAGGGAGAAATCACCCCTCTATGGGTGTAGTCGTGTTGCAATCCCTTTTCCATTTCTCTGCCTTGTCAGATTTGGGACACACACACACACACACACACACACACACATACACAACTGGTAGGGTTTTCAGTCCACCAGAATCTGGATTTAGATTGCACGATGGGTGCCTTAACCACCAGACCAAGAAACTAATCCATTAGCATATTTAATAATATGGAAATTTTTACATATTAAAGCTCTATATTTCCTTAATGTCTTTTTTTATATTCTGGATAGTGGTTAATTCAGGCCTTCCTTGCATTCCTGGAACTTTCAGGTCCTATCCCTTTCCCTGTAGCCTGTGATCTCACCCTCACTGCCGAAACTGGAAGCTGTCAGATGAGATGTCCATCCATTTCCTGTCACTTGTCCTTCACAGCGAGCCATCTGAGACTCCTGGCTCTCAGGAGCCTCCTTCTGTGACATTCGCAATGGCCTTCTATGTCTCCTTCTTTGCTGATTCTTACCACCCAGTATGACATGGACTCTCCCCTCTCCTATTGTTAAAACAGACACGCCCCCTGTGCCCTTCCTGCACTGTGCCTTTGCTCATCATCAGAATGTGTGTGTTCCCAGGCTGGGCCTGTGGGGGGGTGGGGCAGCTCCAGGCTGGCTCAGAGCAGGCTGCTGGTAAGCCTTTGGCAAGTGAAAGGAAGCAGTGAAAGAGACACAGAGGTGAGAAGTCGTAAGGCACAGGTTGGCTATGGCATAACAACATGGGTTTTTCTGGAAGCTGGAAATAGTAATCATTATACTAATGAGAGCTGAGGTTTGAGTCCTTGCTGTGTGCTAGGCGCATTGCTCAGCACGCCACACAATGTATCTGATTGAACACTGAGAGCCATCCTGTGAAGTAGGTCCCACCCACCATTACCCTCATTTTTGTTAGAAAGAGTCTCAAATTCAGGGAGGTGAAGGGACTTCCCAAAAGTCCATGGTAGGCAAGTGCCGGTTTTACCCACGAAGGCGCAGAACCACTCTCTCAGCCACCATACTGCACTGTCCTAAGATGAGCAGAACCTCTGTGACAGAGCACTTAGCACTTTTGGGCTCCTAGACATACTTAATAGTGACTCTGCAGTAGTTGCACACTGCACTGTGCCTTCTTTTGTTTTTCTTACAAATTAATGACATGAAAGTTTTTGAGAAGTGAAAACATTCAGAGGAAACAAAGTCACCAGCGACTACCTGTGTTTTAACTCAACTTTTCTCCTGCTTGCCCTGCTAGACTCTGCTTTTCAGTCTGGAGTACTTCTGATGGCACCAACTCCAGTTGCTTAGAACCGCTCCAGCGATCTGAGTATGAGGAGACGTGTCTCTGCTGGAAGAGGCCAGCTGGCTAAGTGCTGCTGAACTTGGCCTAAGTCTGTCTTAACTCTGTTCCTTTCCAAAGATGGCAATTCATTTTTCAGCCATGGACACCCTGTGGACCTGACTTCTGCTGCCGTGATGGGGTGGTACTGGTACTCTTTCTTGTTAGGAGCCAGAAGACCAGCATCCATTGTGGCACTGCCTCAGAATGGCGGTGTGCTCGGAGGGCATTTGTTAATGCTCTGTTGTGCAGTTCAGGGGTGATTATTCCAACCTGCTCTCCTGGTTGGATGCTTGGAGCACCTGGTCACACCTCACTCACCCAGAGCCAAGGCTGCTCCCATTGCCGTGAGGATCACTACTGTCTAGGGTCTTTCTGAGTGGGGCTTGGCTGTTCTGTAATGCAAGGTACGCTGGGTGGAATCCTGTTGGCCCATGTAATGCTTTTGGAGAGATGTGTGGAAGCCAGCCCTGGGTTCTCTGGATGCCCTCCCTCTAGCTTTGTCACTTTACTCCTGTGACTCCTCCTATCTCCCACACTTCAGCCTCTTTTCCTCTCTGCGGGACCATTCCTACTAGCATGCAGTTCACACATACATACTCGTCACAACCTCCAGTCTTAATCCACTGCCCCTTCTGCTGCTCTGTTTTTCTGTTCCCATTCACAGCAAACCACCTATAAAAAACTGACTTTAACTGCTGGGTTGCTCCCTCACCTCATGTTCTCTCATCCCTTTCCAGCCGAGCTTCTGCCTTCACCAGCGTCTGAAATTGTTTGGCTGAAGCCATCAAATTATTTCCACGTACCTAAATTCAACCATTGTTTTTGTTTTTTTCCTCCCTCATTTCAACCTCTCACCAGCATTTCTCTCCTTCTCTGTTGCTTTACATTTTTTTCTTTCTTTTCTTGAGTTAATGTGTAAGTCACGACAGTAATCATATCCTAAGTGTACAGCATGATGACTTTTTACATATATCTGCCCCTGTGGTATCACTTGTGCATCATTTGACATGACTCAGTGGCTGCCCCCTCTTCCTTATCCTCACTTTCTTATTTTCCTCAGTCTCTAAATATTGAAATGTCATAGGGATCCATCCTAGAACACCTTCTCTTTTTTATTTGTGCTCCTAGAGAAGCTTGTACCATTTCATGGCTTTAAATGCCATCTATATTTTGACAGCTTCCAAATTTATACCTCTAACTCTGACCTCTTTTTTGAATTCAGCTCCTATTTTTACTTCCATAGTTGACATTTCTACACAGAAATAAAGTAGGCCTCTAAACTTGACATGTCAAAAATGAAGCTCTTTGGGGTCAGCAAGTGGCCTGACCGTGAACGGCGTAGGACTCCCACATAGTGACTGCTTTGAGTCCAGGACCTGGCAGCTCACTTTCTCACTTTCTCCCTCTCTCTCTATTGAGCACACATGCCCTATAGCAAATTAAATAACAATAATAACAATGATGAAATTAAGTAAATAATTATTTTTTAAAAAGTAAATAAAGCACTTTATTGCACCCTTCCCTCATCTCTTTCTTTGCCCCGCCTCAGCTACTTCATAATTGTCTCCATTTCATTAAATGATTTCTCTGTTAATCGCTCAAAATGAAAATTTGGAGCTCATCGATTTATTTCTTTACCCCTACATTTAATGTATCTTCACATCTCATTGATAAAAATCAACAGTGGAAGACAACCCTGGATAGTTGTTCTTTCTGGTCTCCAAGTCATTGCCATCCTCTGCTTGGGCTGCTACAATCGCCTAACTTTTCTCCTAGCTTCTGTCATTGTCCTTAGAGGCCATTCTTATATAGCATACAGAGAGATAACCTGAGAAACGTGGATCAGACTGAATTACTTTTGGGCTAGAAGCCTCACATCCAAAGCCATTTTCTGCTCTAGGAAACCTAACGTGATCTGGGCCCCGCCTGCTTTTCACACTCAACTTGTAGCCCACTTACTTCCTGCCAGCCATGCTTGCTTGCTTCCTGCTTCTCAAATGCCCTGTTTCCTCCAGCCTTAGAACCTGTGCCTTAGCTTTTCCTCTCCCTTGAAGTTTCTTTCTTCATATGTTGCACCTTCTTGTGATCCAGGTCTCAGTTTATACGTCGTTTTCCAAGAGAGACTTTCTTCTTCCCCCACCGCCTAAAGAAGTCCACCAGTCACATTATGCTGGTTTATTTTATTTTTAGAGATTTTTGCCATAGGGTGTATGTGCTTGCTGGAGACACAGAGAGACAGAGAGAAAATGAGATATCACCACCCTAGAGGGTTGGCCATGCCACAGTCCTGTCTCTTCCACTCTCCTCTTGGTATTTTGGGCACACACACATATGTGCCTGATGTGAGTTTCAGACTGCTGGGTCTGGGACTTGAACCAGTCAGACATGTAGGAGTCCAGCACCTTAACCACTATGCGATCTGCTGGCCCCTGGTTTATTTTATTTTTTTATTTTTTTTTTTGGAGAGATTTTTCACTGTAGGGCGCGTGCGCTCGCCAGACAGACAGAGAGAGACATAGAGACAGAAAGCGAGAAATCACCCCCCAGGGGGGATGGTCATGCCGCAATCCCTTCTCCTCCATTCTCCTCTCGGGATCTTGGGCACGCACGCACACGCGCCCGGCGTGAGTTTTAAGCCACCGGGTCCGGGACACGAACCGCGGTCGACTACGTGGGAGTCCAGCGACATAGCCATTACGCTAACTGCTGGTTCCCCCTGGTTTATTTTTTATCACAACATTTATTTAATGCCTGTTACCATCTTGTTTGTTTCTTCCTCTGCAGACTTTGTCTTATGAGGGTGGGAACTTTGCTACCCACTTCCTAGCCATATCCTCACTGCCTAAGACAGTGCCTGGCACTTAATAGCTGACAATAAATACTGATTCACCCTATAAGTGGACAGGTAAAATGAATAATATTATGTGGTGTAGCTGGTCCAGCAGTTGGTCTAAAATCTGGCCTGGTGACAGACCAAAAAGGTGAGCTGCTATGAATTGCTATGTGTGTGACTCGAGTGGTATTTGTTGCAGAGAGGAGCAAGTACCCATGGAGCTGGTGCAACGGGGTGATATCATCAAGGTTGTCCCTGGGGGAAAATTCCCCGTGGATGGGAAAGTCTTGGAAGGCAATACCATGGCTGACGAGTCCCTCATCACAGGTTAGGTGGCTTGTTTTGTGTCCCCGTTGGTGGGTGTCACAGCAGTTACCAGGTCACAAGTGCTTAATGAGACTGAGCAGGCGATGGTTGTCTCTTTTCTCTTCCTGTAGGAGAAGCCATGCCAGTTACCAAGAAACCCGGAAGCATTGTTATCGCAGGGTCTATAAATGCCCATGGCTCTGTGCTCATTGAAGCCACCCATGTGGGCAATGAGACCACTTTGGCTCAGATTGTGAAGTTGGTGGAAGAGGCTCAGATGTCAAAGGTAATGAGGATACTGGAAAAAAAAAAAAAACAGTGTAACTTCAGCTTCTCTGTTTTATAAATTGTTTCACAAGTTCATAGAATCAGGCAGTTTTATTGCGTAGATATTGATTAGTAAACATAGGTAATGAGGGAGATAAGAAACCCAATCCTTACCCATGCTCGTGTGTTTTATTTTTTCATGGATTGTAATTCCCACGGTCTCGGTGTTTTATTTTCATAGGCACCTATTCAGCAACTGGCTGACCGGTTTAGTGGATATTTTGTCCCATTTATCATCATCATTTCAACTTTGACGCTGGTGGTATGGATTGTAATCGGTTTTATCGATTTTGGTGTTGTTCAGAAATATTTTCCTGTAAGTTGAATGCCTTGAACAGTGTGGTTGTTGTGTTATAAATAATCTATGGCCATTAATCTTACTCTCTTGTCTCTTAGATTCCCTGGGCTTTAATTTTCCATTCATTTTGTTTGTTTGCTTCACTTATTGGCAGCAAAAGCTAAGCCAGGTGGGACAGTCAATTGCCCTTCTTTTCCTGGTTTTTATTCAAGATGTTTTTTGCTTTCTAAAATAATTTTCATAGACATCAGTTATTTCTCAGTTATAGAATATAGTATTGGCCCCCTTTTTTTTTTCATTTTGCTATAGGGCGTGCATGTGCTCACGGAGAGACAGAGACAAAGACAGAAAGTGAGAAATCACCCCCCAAGGGAGATGGCCACATCGCAGTCCTTTCTCCTCCATTCTCTTGGGACTTTGGGCACACATGCACACCTGGCATGAGTTTTAAGCTTCTGGGTCCAGAACTTCAACAGCACCGTGGTTGACTACATGGCAGTCCAGCAACATAACCATTAAGCCACCTGCTGGTCTTGCTACTAGGACTTAATACTTTTAATACTTAAGTGTTTACTAAACATTATATATGAAGCAATGGAATATACATTTTTGATTTTAGAAAAAAAGTGGGTGAAGAATGTTACTATAGGAAATAGGTATTTTCAAACTAAAAAAAAAAAAAGGTGAAAAATACAGTACATCTCTACAAACCTTATCTGCTTGACAAATAAGAACTATATACATCAGTGATTCTCCATTGGGAGGTTTTTGCCCTTCTATTCCCTAAGGATATTTGGTAATATCTAAAGGCTTTTTTTTTTTTTTTCCTTTTGGTTTTCATGCCTAGGGGGATGCTACTTGCATCTATGTGGTAAGGCACAGGGCAAGTTCCTGCTGCAAAAGATGTCAGTATTGCTGAGGCTGAGAAATGTTGACATGCATAAAGGCTATGACACGCTACCCACCTAGAGCAGCGTTTGATAGCCGCCCAGTGAGTGGACAGTGTTTTACCCTGTCTCCTGTCTAGCCCAGTCTAGTGCTTATTCTGCCTTAGAGCCATGGAATAAGAAACTGCAAATATAAGATGGATAATATTTTTTCTTTTTAAAAAAATTTCTGCCCATAACTAAAGGTCTATCAGTTGTTCTGAGGTGCATGCCATTTAGTAAGATGTCATTTTCTTCCTCAGGTTCCCTTCTTATCTTAGGTTGAAAAAATGTCCAAGTAAAGCACTTTCTGATACCTAAGGGGGGGGGGAACCTCAGTGCTTTTAATATACATTTATGAATATGTTCCTAGAATTTGCCAGTGGCTATTCATGGCACACAGCTGCCTAAAATTTTTACTTTTTCGGGAGAGCAGTGCTTGGCATGTGGCTGTGGGAAGAGCCAGTCCCAAGGAGGTGGAATATGTGGCTTTTGCTGTTCCATGCTTTTCCATCTTACTTCAGCTTCTTTTGTTTTTATCTGCAATATCAGGGAGGATGCTGGCAAATGAGGTACTGCATGTTCCTTTAAGATATTATCATTACCCTGCTATACAAAAATCATTTGTATGGAAGGGTTCAGATTAACTTCTACAAGTCTACCCAGTCCTTCAGAATGGCAGGTGTTATTTGACAAGTGTTATTGGGTTAAACAAACAAACACACACATCTTCTTTAATCTCTAAGAATAACATTGTCTTAAAGAGTGTGTCCCTCTACCCAAATACAACTTTCTATGAAAATTAAATGACATTTTAATAATATATCTTATTTTAGAAATATGCCTTTCAAAATAAATAAGTAAGTGAATAAGTAAATCATAGGTAGAAGCAAACGAGATCATGAGCTGCATCCTCGAATTAGAGAACATGCTTTTCTTGTAGTAATTGACTATAGTATCTCTTGATTATATTCCATAGCCACCAGCTATTTTGGACTAAAAATAAAATAAAGCAAGATAATTTAAAATCTCAGATGCAAAACATAATACCAACATATGCTACCAGATATATGGAAAGTAGACCCATATTTTGTTTGTTTGGTGTCTACAAAGAAAACAGTAGTGAAAAATAGAGAAGAATATTGGGATGCCTCCACATCACATCCCTGGAAGTAATTGGTTTTTTTGCACTTTAGTGAACGTCTTTTTCATATTGTTAAAAAGCTACATATATCTGTAGGCATGGGATTTTGACAAATAAAATCAGCATGTGCCTTTTTTGTACTTGCTTTTTAAATTGCACAGTGTTACTGATATCGCTTTTTATCAGTAAATATAGACATCCCTCCTCATCTCAAGAATTGCATGGTATTCCATCAAGCACACCATACCTACCATTTAACACCCAATCCTATTGATCATTTCCAGTTAGAAAACAAAACGCTGTGATAAATATCCATGTATCTTTTTCTACTTATATAATTATCACCTTAGAGTAATTCTTTAGAAAATCGTCATTTTTGAAGCTTTCATAATGATGATAAAAATAATGATAATGTAATATTGATGGTTAGAATTTCTTAGATGCCTCTTCTCTACCAGATGTCTGTACTATGTGTATTTATATGTTTATTTGATCTTGACAACAACCTGGGAGCTGAGTATTCTCATTTTCTTTTTCTATGTGGGGAAACCGAGACATGGAGAGGTTAAAATTAGTGCCAGAGCCGGGATATGGGTCTATATAGTCCAACTCCAGAGTCTGCCCCCTTTCCCCTATCAGATTTTATGGTTTCTTCCCTCCTGTAATACCTCTTTGAGGGAAGCTTGCAGGACCCAGTTGGGGAGCTGGGGTGTGGAGCCTTAAGGTGTGCTCTGTGGCAGTGAAGCAGTGTAGGACACCATCACGTCTTCTAAACCCCAGCTCATCACACTGTCTCAGGCCCCTTTGCCCCACTGAAATGGTCTTATGAGAACAGAATCCGGTGAGGTTCCTCACTGAACTCTAAGCTGCCCTTTACCTCTTTCTTCTTTTCAGAACCCCCACAAGCATATTTCCCAGACAGAGGTGATCATCCGGTTTGCATTCCAGACTTCCATCACGGTGCTGTGCATTGCCTGCCCCTGTTCCCTGGGGCTGGCCACACCTACGGCTGTCATGGTGGGCACTGGGGTGGCTGCCCAGAACGGTGTGCTCATCAAGGGAGGCAAGCCTCTGGAAATGGCCCACAAGGTCAGCCCTGTGTCCGGGCCCTTTCAGCCCTCCTGTGTGGTCTTGGCTTGGGTGATGTTTTTAAGACCATCTTAATGAAAATAGTGTCTGTTTACTGTTTCACATTAAAAGAAAAACCCGACAGTGACCTAAGAGCAGCAACATTAATTAAATAGACCAGGAAGGCCAAGACTGGCAATAATAAGGTACAGCCAATAGTCATGTCATGAAATGCTTTATAAATATTAATTGAGGTTAGTCTCATTAATGACTTTTGGCAGTAGGTGCTTATTATTCCCATTTTACAGGCAAGGAAACCACACCAGCAGGAGGTTAGGTGACCTGCCTGAAGGCCTACAGCTGATAGCCAGGATTCACACCCCAGTAGTCAGGTTCCAGGGCCACAGCTGTGGGTTAGTGGAGGGATCCTGTAGCTTTGGGGAGTGTGTTGTTGAGTGTCAGTGTTTATGAAGAATGTTCTTTTGCCCACCATACTTTCCATACTTCCATTAATGTATTCAGCATTCACTGAGCACTTACTAAGGGTGGGCCTTGTAGGTGTAGCCATCGTCAGGGCTCTCAACCACTCGAGGGACCTATGGAGAAAGACAAGTCAAACAAACAGCAGATGCTAAGGGTTACAAGAGAGTGAGATGCCATGAAGACGCCAACAGCTATTCACTGCCCTCAGGGTATTGTACTCAGTCTGAAGGATGGTGCAGGAGAGAACACAGAAAGGCCAATCTGAGACCTCACAGGTGAGCAAGAGTTAGCCAGGCAGTGGAGGATGGAGGAATGTCCTGGCAGTGGGGTCAGCAGGTGGGAAGGACCTGGGGAGGCTGTGCTCGTGGATAGGCTGCCTGAGATCAGGGATCAAGCTGCCACCTTGCCATTGTGTCCCCAGCATCTAGCCCAGCAGCCATCGCATTGAAAACACCCAAGTTACTTGTGAATAAACAAAGGAATGGAAAGAAAATCACTGAGCAGGCAAGAGAGAGACTAGTAATGAGGCTGTTGAGGGAGGAGCCAGAACATGAAGGCCTTCAGGGTTTAGGAGATGATTCTGAACTTGGCCCTCAAAACACCAGGAAGCGTGGCTATGAAGTGCCTCCTATGTGCCGTGAGTAGTTCAGATGTTGGGAGGAGCCATCTGGCTGTAGAGTGGAGGATGGCTTGAAGGAGGCCAGAATCACTGGAAGAGGGGTAGTTAATAGTGTTGGAAGAAGAGGCCACTGCTTAGCAGCAGCAACAAAAAGCTCAATTGGGCAGGCCAGTGGCATGGTGGTTAAGGCTGTTGGATTCCACATGGCTAACTGCGCGGTTCAGTTCCTGGACTCGATAGCTTAAAAAATCTGCTGGGCATGTTTGCACATGTCCCCAAAATTCCAAGATGAGAATAGAGGGGAAGGGATTGTGGCATGACCATCCTGCATAGGGGATGCTTTCTCACTTAACCTCTCTGTCTCTCCTGTGAACACATGTGCCCTCTAGCAAATTATAAAATAATAAATTAAAAACAACTTTGTTGTTTCCTAAGGAGAGAGAACCTGCTTGTAGGACACAATCTGAAGAGAGCAACCTGCTGACCTTGCTCTTTAGTAGGGTTTGGGCAAGTGAGCAGTCGAGGCATTGGTGAACTTTTGGAAGTGGGGGTCAGGGCTTGGCTGGCCTCTGGCTGTGGAAGTACAGGTACCTTGTGTCACTGCTGCCAATTTCTGAGCCCAGGCATGTGCGGTCTGGTCCAAAGCTGCCATTGAACAGGTGGGACAGGTATAAAACTGGCTCTGGTGGTTTCTTGTTATGGCCTCAGAGTAGTCCCTTCCTTTCTTGAACGCAGAGTGCCTCTTCTCAGTAGGCTTTGGCAGCACAGCAGGTAGCTATGGACAGGGACATGGGAGCACCCCAGTGTCCTGACTCCTGACATAGTGTAAGAAGACTAGATGCTCTCTGTCTCTAAGATGGTGCCACACCATATCCTGTATAGCTAAGTGAGAGTTTCTGGCTCTGTCTGGTCAAGGTTAAGCCACAGTGTGGATGTTTTTAACTAGGCAGATAGGTAAATAATTTCTTTGTAGCAGGAGTTGTTGAATCCTGGAGAAGCTTGTTTAACGTTAAGGTATGAAGGAGAGACCAGCAGATGGCATAATGGTTATGTCCCTGGACTCCCATGTAGTCAATCGTGGTTCAAGTCCTGGATCCAGTGGCTTAACACTCATCATGGGTGCATGTGTGTGCATGCCCAGGATCCCAAGAGGAGAACAGAGGAGAAGGGATTATGGCATGGCCATCACCCCGGGAGGTGATTTCTTACTTTTTGTTTCTCTCTCTCTCTCTCTCATGAGTACACACACCCATGCACCCTATAGCAAAAATATCTCAAAAAAAAGTTATGAAGGGGATGGGGCTGGATGGTGGCACCATGCTAGATAGTAACACACGGTACTCTTCAAAACTGATCCACATAAGAAGGTTCTGGATTTGTGTCTGGAGACCTCCCTAAGTATGCCAGACACAGACATGCCCATGATGCAGGGCTAGCCAAGGCTGGGGATGGCTTGTAGCCTCAGGACCCTGTTCAGTCATGGAAGAATCAAATATATAAACCTTAAAAACAAAAAAATAAAAAGGTGAAAAGTTATGAAGGTGGGCCAGTCAGTGGTAATACTGTGCTCTGTGAGCCTGAGCCTACTTGGTAAGGTCCCGGATATAAATCCCAAGACCGTGCTTGTGATCCTGGCTGGCTGAGGCTGGGGGTGGATCACAGCCCGAAGACCCTGCTGCGGTGTCTCTCTCTCTTTTTCTCTCTCATGGGAAAAATAAATAAAAATAAAGAAAAGAAGTTATGAAGGAGTGTCGTGACCTGCCTGAGGTAATTTGGGTGAAGTTCTGCTTCAAGCTTCTATGGGCTATGAGTCCACAGCCCCTTCAGCTGTGTCATGGTCACTGAGTTGTGGTTGTTTTTGGCAGATAAAGACTGTGATGTTTGACAAAACTGGCACCATTACCCATGGGGTCCCCAGAGTCATGAGGGTCCTCCTGCTTGTGGACGTGGCTGCGCTCCCCCTCAGAAAGGTCCTGGCTGTGGTGGGGACTGCAGAAGCCAGCAGCGAGCACCCCTTGGGCGTGGCCGTCACCAAGTACTGTAAAGAGGTGCGTAGACCCCAATGGTGCCCCACCCTGTCACCCCATTGCACTCCTTGCCACGGGCCTTCTCTCCTCGCTGTCCTAGAGAAGCGCTTTGTGGTGTGGTCTGGCCCCTCTGGAGCAGGTGGAGGTAGAGCTCAGAGCCAGCCCTGGTCACAGTTCCAGGTTATCACAGAAGTAGGTCAGTGCCATGCACTCAGTACGTACTTGGCACAGGGCTTGAGACAGCAGAGTGCGTGAAATATGAACTCTGTCCTCTGTGGGGAGACAGGTCTAGAAGCTGTCCCTTGTGAGTGCTCAGTGCAAGGGACACAGAGTGAAATGTCATTTTGGGCCAAGGAAAGAAAAGCACACTCCCCAGGGAACATCTGGAGCAGGGGACCCTGCAGAGGGGGACTAGGGTGCCTCATGGATTCTTGGGTTCTCTCCACATGGAAGGTCCTATTTCATTTTCTCTGTTTTCAATTTGAATATAGAGGCAGCAGAATGGCCAGAATATTGCCCTGGCAATTTTTATTTTTTTAGAGGGATTTTTGCTAAAGAGTACATGCACACTCCAGAGAGATAGAAATTACCCCCTGGAAGGAGAGCCACGCTGCAGTCCCTTCTCCTCCATTCTTCTCTCAGGATTTTGGGCACACATGCACACGTGCCTGGCATGAATTTTAAGCTTCCAGGTCTGGGACTCGAAACGTGGTCGACTGAGTGAGAGCCTAGCAACGTGACCATTGCACCATCTGCTGGTCCCGCCTTGACAATTTTTAAACAACCCAGATACACAGTGTCATCAGTAAATGTAGAAAGCTTATGTGGTGCCTTGAAAAAGCTGACAGCTCTTTGGATTCTGATGGACTCTTCCAGGATCCGCTTGTCTTGCTTGCCCTTCGTACAGAGTCAGACATACTGCTGCTTCCCATCTCACCCTGCCGCTGTGTCAGAGGGTTGTGCCCACCCGCGATCCGCCTCATTCGCTGTTCTGCTCACTTCTTTCCCTGCCACCTCATGCCCTAGGTCTAAAGATGTGCGGTGAGCCCTTGTTAGCTTCAAAACAGCTTTGATACCACCTGCTTTTCCCATCGTTTTTATGAAATTATTTAAAACATGTAATCTGTTGGAACCAGCAGATGGTGTAATGGTTACATCGCTGGACTCCATGTAGTTGACGGTGGTTTGCGTCCCAGACCTAGCGGCTTAAAACTCACACCAGGTGTGTGTGTGTGCGTGCCCAAGATCCCGAGAGGAGAATGGAGGAGAAGGGGTTGTGGCATGGCCATACCCTCTGGGGGGTGATTTCTCACTTTCTGTCTTTCTCTCTCTCTGGCAAGCACATAGGCTCTATAGTAAAAATCTCTCTCAAAAAAACCCAAAATACAAACAAACAAACAAACAAAAGAACATAAAATCTTTCTTCTTTGGCACCTGCAGCCCCTTTATTTTGAGGTATTTGATGTGAATTGCCTTTCTCCTTTCTAGTCTGCAGCCTGTCCACCATCATGAGGCATCCACCTTGAGAGAGAATTCAGTTAAGGAACTGTCGTGTCTGTATCAGATGAGAGAAGAATTGCTGATTAACAGTTGATCTCTCAACCTTTCCATCGATTTTCTTCCCTTCCCTCCTTTCTCTCTCAATTCTTGCCTCATGCTGCTCTCCTGCCACCTCCCCTCACGTTTCTGTCCTCTTGCCCTCTCTATACTTCACCCCTCTGTTTTCTGTTTTTCGCCCCTTCTGCTTTCACAGGTACTTGGAACAGAGACCTTAGGATACTGCACGGATTTCCAGGCAGTGCCAGGTTGCGGAATTGGCTGTAAAGTCAGCAGCGTGGAAGCCATCTTGGCCCCTGGTGAGTGCCCACTGGGAGAGCAGGCCAGTCACCAGAGCAGGCTGGCCACCCCCCTACAGAGAAAGGTGTCCATGGCCTTGAACCTTCTGGGTCTGTCTGTGGCTGGTCTGGCTAGGTCAGAGGGAGGTGTGCCAAGCCACAGAGGGTGCGGAGCCAGGCCCACTGGCCATGATGTCCCAGCGTGGCGTAAGGTATTTCTCAGCGGGGCACCCCATGCCTGCCTTCCCCAGAGAAACCTGTAGATTCTCTCGTGCTCTTTGAGGCATCTGGATTTTGATGCTTATGGCAGGCAAAAGTAGTGTGTGACTTAAATTCATGGAGTAGTGCTTAGCTGGTTCATAATCTGGATTCTCCTCATTTTTATCCCAGATTGAGCCTACTTCTACTACAGAGGGGACAGAGAGGAATTCTACTTTTGTTTTTCCTGTTTCCCTCCCACTGGGAAGGAACAGGACGGATTAGGATATGTAGCGTTTACGGAGTGGGCAGGAAAAGCAGATGGAAATGGCCGGCCCATGCCAGAAGGGGCATTGCCTGGAGTGATAGCTGCTTCGGAATAGTGGCCCCTCAGCTTAAAAGGGTGGGGAATGGGGACCAGCAGTTAGTGTAATGGCTATGTCGCTGGACTCCCATGTAGTCAGCGGTTTGAGTCCCGGACCCAGTGGCTTAAACTCACGCTGGGCACGTGTGCATGTATGCCCAAGATCCCGAGAGGAGAATGGAGGAGAAGGGATTGTGGCGTGGCCATCCTCCCTGGGGGGTGATCTCTCACTTTCTGTCTCTCTGTCTCCCTCTGTCTTTATGGCGAGTGCATGTGCCCTATAGCAAAAACCTCTCTTTTTAAAAATAAAAACAAAACAAGACAAAAAAAGGGGTGGAAAATGCCCAAAATGCAGAAACCCTGTGTCTAGTGGTTTTTCTTTCTTTTTTTTCTTTTTCCTTTCTTTTTGGAGAGGTTTTTGCTATAGGGCACATGCACTCGCCATAAAGACAGAGGGAGACAGAGAGACAGAAAGTGAGAGATCACCCCCCAGGGAGGATGGCCACGCCACAATCCCTTCTCCTCCATTCTCCTCTCGGGATCTCGGGCACACATGCACACGCACCTGGCGTGAGTTTAAGTCATTGGTTCCGGGACCCGAAAGGCAGTCGACTACGTGGGAGTCCAGCAACATAGCCATTATGCCAACTGCTGGCCCCTCTAGTGGTTTTTCTGAAGTGTGTTGGTAGTATCTGGGTTTGGGTCGTGTTGTTAGAAGACATCTCTACCTTCCAGCAATTGCAAACCCCAGGATGACCTTTCTGTTATAGCATCTGGAGACTGGTCTGTGCAGTGACGCTTCATTTAGTGGTACATACAGAGGGCGGCAGGGGCACACCTGGCCTTTCAGGAGGTAGAGTCTTAAAACACTTGGCAGGAGTAGTCTTACCTGATTATTTGTTGATTGCTCGCGGGTCATCTGTAGCAAGCAGTGATGGATGTAGTCCACACTTGGTGCATAACTAACTGCTTCTAATCCCTGTAGAAAAAGAATCAGAAGATGCCTCCAAAGGGAAGTGAGGACAGCAACATATTTAGTGCATTTGTGACATTTTCACACATATGGCATGTACTTTTTAAAGAGAACTATTAAGTTTTATTTATTATTATTATTATTAATTTGCTATAGGGCATATGCACTCACCAGAGAGAGAAAGAGAGAGAGAGAGAGGAAGTGAGAAAGCAAGTCACCAGTCAAGGACTCGAACCGCATTTGGCCATGTGGAAGTCCAGTGCATTAACACCACCTGCTGGTCCCTGTGGTAGGTACTCTTAATACCCTGTTTTAATTCATACTTACCTGTCCTACACATCAAAATTGTATTCTTTTTCTAGTCCTTTAAGGATGGTGTTACAAGAGACACTAGGTGGTAGTCTTTCAGAACAGTTAAATGGGTATTTCCCAGTTAAAAGGATTCCAAGGTTTTTAGTTCATAAAAATGACTATTTAGGGATAACCACAATCTCTTTAAAATAGATGCAGCCCCCCAGACCTTCTCTGTGCTGATTGGAAACCGTGAATGGATGAGGCGCAATGGCCTAACTATTTCCAGCGACGTCAGTGACGCCATGACAGATCATGAGATGAAAGGACAGACCGCCATCTTGGCAGCTATTGATGGTATCTCCCTGCTTGTGCCTTCCTTCACAAAATCACATTTCCTGGGGCCATCAGGCAGAAAGAGTGTTCTCCTTTTTTATTCCCCTTTTTAATACACCTTCCTGTCTGTTCATTGAAACGTTGTTTAGAAAGTTATCTTGTGGTCTTTTCATTTCACTTCCAGTCCTGAGGCTTGCTCTTTCTCACCCTCTCCCCCTGGACCACAGAGCCAGTTCTGCTCTGGCATTGTCTTCTTACCATCATCATTTGCTTCTGTCCAGATTGGCAGTTCAGAGTATTCTTTCTCATTCTTCACTGCAGACAAAACAAGAATTGGCTTCCCTACAGGTTTAACTAAGGCTGCCTTTCAGTAACGAGACCTCCTGCAGTGTGTCACTGTCTGCCTTACACACACCGGTGGGCACAGAGCCTCTGAGGATTCCTCGTATCTGAGGACTCAGACTGTATTTGGGTTTTATATCTCTCAGAGATTTGAATCTTTACTTCGTTAATGTTAAAAAAATTAATAAAATCTTTCTTCTCTCTTATGCCAATAAAAAATAATGTATGATGCTGTATTTTGAGTGTTCCGTCCAAATATGTCTTCCCTCCCCTTTTCCCTTCTATGTCCTCAAATCCTTATAAACCCAGAGTCCCCTTAACTTGTTCCCTTACCCCGAAACAGCGCAACTGAAGGAATTATGCCCTCTCAGACATCTCTCACTCTGGTCCCATTCATACGTCAGTTCCAGAAACGCTCTTGCATTCTACAGAAATGTTTTCTATAGGAAGAGACCAAAACAGGAAGGATTGATATTCTAGTTTGGACATCATTTTAAGCAGTTGTTATATTTGGTACATTTCTCGTATTTTAATAACTAATACATACTGAGTTCTTATAATGAGTCAGGCATTTACTGCAAAGTGATACATGCTGCTAGCATAAAAGTTGGAAAATTCAGACAGCTGTACAGAAGAGAATGAAATAACGTGTCATCCCACCCCTTAAGAGCCACTATGAATGGTTCAGTGTCCCTTGCGGACTTTTGTATGCATCTCTAAGTGTATCATTTTTTAAAAACAATTTCAAAACCATAGTATGTTATGTCCATCGGTGCTCTGTTTTCTGCATACATGAATGCCACGATGAAAACCTTTCGGTGCCCAGCCATCCGTAATACTGTACTGAGGCTGACCCTGGGTGGTTTCTGCAGGTGTGCTATGTGGGATGATTGCCATCGCAGACGCTGTCAAGCCGGAGGCCGCCCTGGCTGTGCACACCCTCAAAAACATGGGCGTGGATGTCGTTCTGATCACAGGGGATAACCGGAAGACAGCCAGAGCCATTGCCACCCAGGTACGGCCAGGGGCTAGACACATCTCCCCCTTTAAGATGTCAAACTCCATACAGCTCAGAGAGCCAGTTTGAGAAGAAGGGGCAGCAGCTCAGCACTCAGCCTTCCCTCTGCTCTTTACCCCTCACTAGTGCTTTCCCTCCCAGCGGAGCAGCCCTGCAGCCGAGACCACTGTGCTGCTGCAGCAGGGCTCGTGCCCCTGGGTCCTGGGTGCACGTAGTTGATGCATGCATCTCTGGGGAAGCAATTCCAGTGTTTTCTAACCAGGGCCTTTGCAAAAGGTTGAAAAAGAAGCATAGCTTGTGAGCTAAAATAAAGGGGCTGGCAGGTGATGTAGTGGTTATGGTGCTGGACTCCCACATGGCCGACTGCAGTTTGAGTCCCAGATCTGGCAGCTTGAAAATCACACCAGGCACCTGTGCATGTGTGCCCAAAATCCCAGGAGGAAAATGAAGGAAAAGGGATTGTGGCACGGCCATCCCTCCATGGGAGGCGATTTCTACCTTTCCCTGTCATTGTCTCTCTCTGGTGAGTGCCTGTCCCTATGGCAAATAAATAAATACGTAAAACCTTTTCTACCCTCTGTGTGAAAGGATAATTTTGACAGTTTGGCACTTCTCACTTGTGTGCACCAGATCCCTTCTGGGCAGTTCCTCAGCGGTTCTTGGTTCTGAGTTGGCCATGACAACAGCACCTCTGGGTGGCTGCCTAACTCCCTTTATAGCAGTGGCCCCATTGTGAATTCCTGAAAATCGTTCTTTCTCCCACAAAGCTGTGAGCTTATAAAATGACTTGCAGCTTATAAGGAAAACAGCAGTGCTTTCCTTGCTAGTGAGGGCTTTTGGAATCTCCTCTCCTTGCCCTCTTATTGGTTAGAACATCCATTCTACAAGCACTTTTTTTTTTTTTTAATGTTGTTTTTGGTCATAGTGCACATGTGCTGTCATAGGGCACATACACTCACAGGAGATTTAGAGAGTGAGTGAGGGAAAGTAAGAAATCTCCCACAAGGAGAATGGCCATGCCACCATCCCTTATCCTCCACTCTCCCCCTGGGATTTTGAGCATGCACACACGTGCACCCGGTGTGTTTCAAGCTGCTAGGTCCAGGATTTAAACCATGGTTGGCCATGTGTTAGCGCTTTACCCACCATGCCACCTGCTGGCCCCTACAAGTACTTTATAAGCACCATGAACAATGTGACAGGCAGGCACAGCAGCAGGCTTTATGGCTACAGAGAGGAATGAAGGGATGGTGGGTCATTGACCAGGCCTAGCCTGAGTACTCAGAGCTCCAGCAGAAGGTGCGTGGAACATGGTGGGAGCTTCCAAGGAGCCACTGGCCCACTACCACCTGGCAGGGGCCGGGGTGGCTTCCCAGAGAACGGGATGCTCGAGTCAGGAGTCAATCAGAGGAAGAAGGGGAACCGGGGAGGGAAAGGAAAGCAGAACTTGCCCAGGATGGAGTTGGTATCAGGAGCACCACCCAGGGACAAAGTCACATGCTGACTTTGGAGAAGCTGCAGGGAGCTGCAGTGGCCAGACCCAGGGAGGTCTTGGAATGCAAACCCCTCAAGAGAATAGATATTGTTCCCAGGGAAGCAGATAGGGCCCAGCAGTGGACTTGAAGCAGGGTGGGTAATGTGACCAAAGGATTGCTATTTGGGGAAGATGACTGAAAAAGAGATTTGGGATGCCGGGGTGTGGACAGGGGGACCAATAAGAAAACTGTTTGCTAATCCAGGAGTGGATGATCCCAAACCTGGGCAGGGCATCAGGGCAGGAGGTCAGTTTGCACTGAGACCTAGCTGACTGCTGTGACTGATGACTTGAAGGCTGAGGGGAGTGGGGACAAGGATGACTTGTGAGTTTCTCCTGCTGCAACACCAGGTGTCATTTTCCTTTCCTTTTAGGTTGGCATCAACAAAGTCTTTGCAGAGGTTCTGCCTTCTCACAAGGTGGCCAAGGTCCAGGAACTCCAGAACAAGGGCAAGAAAGTCGCCATGGTGGGAGACGGGGTTAATGACTCCCCGGCCTTGGCCCAGGCTGATGTTGGCATCGCTATTGGGACTGGCACAGATGTGGCCATTGAGGCAGCTGACGTCGTCCTCATCAGAGTGAGCTCGGCTGCATGCAGGTTGGGGTGGCGAGGGCATGGGCAGACCCCTGACTCCCCACCTGTTGCTCCCCTGCAGAATGATTTACTTGATGTGGTGGCTAGCATTCACCTTTCCAAGCGGACGGTCCGGAGAATCCGAGTCAATCTGGTCCTGGCATTGATTTATAACCTGGTTGGGATCCCCATTGCAGCAGGTAGGAGAGGCTTACACCTGCTTTCTCACCTCTGGCCCCAGCTGCCACCACAAAGACTCCCTCTGCTGGTTCCTGCTGGAGTTAGGGAGGACCTGCCTACCTGGCAGCATTCTAGGAAGGCTGGTTTTGTTACGTTCCCTACTCTGGATGGCTCCTAAGGGAAGGAGAAACTGTTGAGAGGACCCCAGAACTTCATTCACTCTGGTCCTTTCTAAAAAGCTGGTCAAGATGCTTAGCCGTTTACTTACAGCGACCTGATTTTATGAGCCATTTATTAAGACACCTGGTCTAAAATAATCATGGTAAAGAGTTATGGACCACCTCCATGTGCTAAGCAAATGATTGGTGTTTCAGAACCTTATCAAAAATTAACGCTGCCCTGGCTTTGCACTAACTCACAGAAATGATCAGGGAGAGAATGGATTTTTTCTGTTTTGTGAATCCTTCTCTCTTCCCCTTGGACTCTTGTGGAACCAGGCAGGATACAGTTCCAGGCCCTTCTGCAGGGCAAAGCTCCTCTGGTTTTTAAACATGACTTTCCCACCTCATGTTCCCTGTTTTGTTTGAGCGGTCAGTAGTGATGCATAGAACAGAGCTCAGCAACGTGCGCTAGGGCCTCTGGAGTCTGAGTCGGGCAGTTACTTCCTGCCCCCACGGCCGGTTCAGGAGCTCCATTTCCTGCAGTATTGGTGCCTCTGCTGTACAGTTATCCTCCCTAGCCTCAGTCTCCTGGCTCTGTCCTGGCATTTGGCTCTCATTTGTTTTTAAAAGGGTGTTATGAAGCCCTGGAGGTCAGATAATCTGTTCAAACAAGGACTGTGGTCATCTGCAGTGTTTTGTACCTGCAGGACTGTGGTCCTGGGACAGCTGGCTCCCAGCTACTGTCCCTCAGCGCCCTGTGTTGCTCCTCTGGTCACTAAGCTTTCCCTGAAACAGGTGGTGCCACCTGTGGACAGTCCCAAGGAAGGCAGGGCAGGAGGAGGAGATCCAGACCCACCCTACAGCCCCCACTGCCCAACTGTCCAGGATAGCTCCACCTCAGAGGCCTATGGGTGCATGGGCAGGACTGGCTGGCTGGGGTTCTGACACCTTGAGGAGGAGGACTCCACAGGGGTGGCTGAGGGTGGGGTTCCAGCCTCTGTGCCAAGGCCCTCTCCTTGCCTGTGGCTCTGGGCCGTGGCGTGAGCACGTCCTTCCCGTGGCAGGTGTCTTCATGCCTCTCGGCATCGTGTTGCAGCCATGGATGGGCTCGGCGGCCATGGCAGCCTCCTCTGTGTCTGTGGTGCTCTCATCTCTGCAGCTCAAGTGGTGAGTCTCTGCGGGGTGGGCACATTAGTTAGCATGACTCCAGGAGACCGTCCCAATGTGGCAGAGGGGCTGGCTAGCGCTTCCTGGCATGAGCTCTTGTTCCTTATCCAGTAACCTGTGACAGTCACCCATGTGGAGTCCTGTCCTGTGTGTGCAGGTCGTGATTTGCCTGCATCACAAGCAAGCCTCCTGACAGCCATCATACCCTGGACTGGTCTTGCCCTTCAGCTCATGAGTTGTTTGTGGGCATGGAGTTCCTGGGAAATCATTTCTCCTTTTTTAGAAAAAAGAAGTTCAGTTATTAATGCAGTCGTGCGTTTGGTTTATTTGTTTGTTTGTTTTTTGCTATAGGGCGTGTGTGCTCGCCAGACAGACAGAGACAGAGAGACAGAAAGCGAGAAATCACCCCCCAGGGGGATGGCCACGCCGCAATCCCTTCTCCTCCATTCTCCTCCCGGGATCTTGAGCACATGCACACACGTGCCCGGCGTGAGTTTTAAGTTGCTGGGTCCAGGTCGCAAACCGTAGTCGACTACATGGGAGTCCAGCGACATAGCCATTACGTTAACTGCTGGTCCCATTAATGCAGTTGTTTAACATAGGTGATTGGCAGCCTACCTTGTGCAAGGCATTTACACAGGAGGTTTTGAAGCTAAGTGTTAGTAAAAGCCTTGGATGAGAGGCCTTTACCAGGCTTTCCCCAAGAGCCTTGTGTCCAGAGTGACTCAGATGCTGGCCTTGGATTCTTGCTTTCCAGCTATAAGAAGCCTGACCTGGAGAGGTACGAGGCCCAGGCCCACGGCCGCATGAAGCCCCTGAGTGCATCGCAGGTCAGCGTGCACATCGGCATGGACGACCGGCAGCGGGACTCTCCCAGGGCCACACCATGGGACCAGGTCAGCTACGTCAGCCAAGTGTCTCTGTCCTCCCTGACGTCCGACAGGCTGTCTCGGCACAGCACCATGGTGGACGACGGCGGGGACAAATGGTCTCTGCTTCTGAATGACAGGGATGACGAACAGTACATCTGAAAGCTCCAGGCCAGGTGGGGGCCTGGCTTCCCCTAGGGGGAGCTTGAGTCTACTGCTGTGGTTGAGCCGAGCAGGTGCAGCACCAGCTGCCAGGAGCAGGGGGTGGAAGCTCGCCTCTCGCCTCAGGGATGTCGCTCCCTGGAGCATGTGGCCTTGCCTAGGTGTGCCTGGCCCCCGCCTAGATGGGACTGCCCTGCCTGGGTTCTCCTGGTACAAGGCAAAGCAGCCTGACTTCACCATACTGTCTGCGTGGGCTTTGTCCAAACCTCTCTCGGACTCAGAGAATAAGATGGAAGTCAGTCTTCCTCACAAACTTTTGCCTTTTTAGGATGACTACTTGTGAAATGAGGAATGATCTCATCAAGAGGAAAAACTTAGCTGGGCCTGTGCAGAGAGCCCCTTGCAGAACTCACTGGTGGGCCCTTTATGACAACACCCACGTGCATCGCATGTCTGGGACCACACCTTACCTCAAATACACCTGTCGTTCTCTGCTGGCACAATCTTTCTCTTCTCCACTCTGTGGGCTTCGTATCCTTGACACAAGAATGTGCCCCAACCCTGTCCATCCCTTTTGGCATCCTCATGGACCCCTGCTGCTCTCAGCAGCTCTCCAGCTGCTCTCTCATGTGCACTACCACTGCAAATCTGGTCCTCTGTGCATGCACACACGCGTGCGCACGCACACACACACCCCTAGCCAGAAAACTTGCCACAGCCCTCTTCACGTGGAGCAGAGCTCTTTCTTGCTTAGGAGTCGTTTTTCTGTAGAGTCACAGCTTCTCTTTACATAAATAAAGTGCTACTGCTTGCCAGCGGCAGCGGGGCTCAGAACCTGACCTGAGTCCAAATCGGGGCCTCCTGTGGGGCCTAGGCACCTGTGACCCAGGGCGACCTTACGTGCCTACCGCAGCCTGTGTTACTTGACACAGGAGCACCGGAAGAGGTGTGTGTGTGCTGGACCCCACGGTCTTCTATATGACTGTTACCTCATGGACTCAAGAGAGAATTCACGTTCCTAGAGCCCTTGTCATTGTCCAACTCAGAGGAAACAGTGCCGCCCGAGTAAGAGGAAGGCACAGTTCTCCACCGTGAGCTTTCCTCCATGCTGAGTGGGCGCCTGAGGACAGCCAGCACAGCTCCCCAGATGGAAGGCTGCCTCTACTTGCCAGTGCTCTTTGTGATTACCGATGCCAGAGTGGGCCCCGTTTTAGACTCAGAGTTCAGCAGTGATTGACAGAACCTCATGGGAGCAGACTAGTAGAACTGATTACACTCTAGGGTGAAGCCCTTGTCTCCCACACTAAATAATCCTTATTTATTGTCTCTTATTCACCAGTGGCATTGTTAGCCCCCTTTATAGCCTCTAATCCTCCCAACAAACCAGTAAGGTAGCTGATATTGTTCACATTTTACAGGCAGGGAAACAGGCTCAGAGAGGCCGAGTATCCAGTCCAGGATCACACAGCCGGTTGTTTGCCTTGTCTGTTGGTTCTGAAGGCTTTTTTCTCATCCCTCTGCCATCTTACATATCGGTTTGCTTGGTAAGAAAAAGCAAGGACAAGGCCTTGGCTTCTGGAAGAAGAAAGCTGCCAGGTGCTCCATTAACTGTACCCACTTAGAATGCAGTTGGTCCCAAGGGCATCTCATCTCCACTCTGGCCGGGTAGTTCACTTTTGGCATATAATACAGTTTTGGTTGGATTTTACCATCTAAGATCCAAGCGTAGTTTTTTTTTTTTTTTTTTTTTTTTTTTTTTTTTCACTCTTCTTTTTTTATTGTTTTCAGTCTTCCTTCCCACCCTCAGCCACTTACCCATTCCCAATTGTGTCCTCTATTCTTGCTCGGGGAATATTTCTTATTTTCTAACTAGGCTAATTATTACCTAAACAACCTAAGTGCCATTAATTGTTCAACCTTTTTAGGACCATAAACATCATGTTCATATACGGGCATGAAGATATTTATGTAATTGTACAGAAATAACTTTTTAGATGGTCCAAGTGTTCGAAGATTTTCTTTTGTCAGATAACAATGTCAACTTCCAAAATCTTCTTTGTGCTATTAGAATAAAGTTTCTTTTTATTCATCTAAGACTCTGCCCTGGCTGGATCTGTTGGTGAGAGGCCCAGTCAGGGTCAGTGTAGCCCTGTCTTCAGTGAGAACATTTTCAGACCCCAAGAGGGCTCTGGTCACCCCCATCAGCACTGATATGAGCCCCAAGTGCCGCCACCTCAGAGGTGTAGGGGGTTTCTGAAAGGCAGCCCCTGTTGCAGTCTCACCCCATTGGACCGCACCTCAGCTTACAGGACCCCCTCTTATGCCCTTCTCTGCTTTAGGGTGATTGTCTACCAAAGGCTGTTCTCAAGCACACACATCTTAATAAGAGGAATATGTTTGGGGTTCCTTGGTCCTGAAGGAGTAGGGTAGTAGGAAAACCTGTACCCAGGGGCTCTGCTGGGAAGCTCCGAAGGCACTTCAGGGTGGCACAGACAGCTCTAAGTGAGTCACACCTGAAGCATGATGACCGTGTAATTTGTCTACAAACTCGAACACTTTTAAGAGTGGAAGGAGAGGGCCAGCAGGTGGTGGTACGACTACCCATGGGAGTCTCGGCCCTGGTGGCTTGATAATCACACCGGGTGCCTGTGCGTGCATGCCCAAAATCCCAGAAGGGAAATGGAGAAAGGATTGCGGATTCCGAGGAGTGATTTCTCACTTTCCCTCTCTCTCTCTCTCTCTCTCTGTCTCCAGCAAGCACAAAAAAAAAAAAAAAAAAAAAAAAAGAGTAGGAGGCAGTAATCGTAACTGAGCCGGGACAGCTGGCATAAACCAGCCTATTAGTCTGGCAAACTAGGACATGTGGTCACCTTTGTTTAAAGGGAATGAACATTGTAAAGTCATCATTGACGCAAATTACTAATACATACTTAGAACTTTTCCTTAATTGTAGTCTCCAGAGACGTGCTAATGACAATCCTCCTCACAGCAGTATTTCTCAGTTGAATCACTGAGGTGACAGCCAGCCCTGGGACATCTGCTGGTGCCTCATGGTACCCTCACACACCCTGGAGGAATGGCTGTTATGCAAACATGGCCATCTTGTTGATGACCAGATCTGGAAATGTCATATATGCATGTCACATTGTGGAGAGGGAGAGTTGATACCACCATAGGAAATTACATTTCTTTAGAAGATAGATGCTTTCTACAGCTTGAGCCAATTATCCTGATGGGATTCTTCAGACACCAGAATAAATCATAGCATTTTCAGTGTTTAAGGCCTTAGTGAAAAAATTGTGATGAGATTATCTTTTTAATAAATTCTAGTTTTGACTTTTAAGTGGCATCTGGAAATTAACATCAAAAGATAGGTTTCCCAAATTATTCTGCTAGCTTACTGAGGAGCCAAGGTCAATACAAGTAACCGTTTTTTTTTTTTTTTTTAGGAAAATTAGGGATAGACTAAAATTAGCCAAATATTGGGTCGTCAGAAAAGTCGTGAAGCATTTTTGCATGGAAAAATATGTCATGACTTTCCTGACAATTCAGTAGTTTAATTAGAAAAAGATCATTTGAACTGCAACAGGATTTTTTTGTTTTGTTTTTAAAGTTCTTTCAGGGGCCAGCCTGTGGTGTGGTGGTTAAGGCGGAAGGATCCCACATGACTGACTGTACAGTTCGGGTCCCAGGCCTTGGCAGCTTGAGAAACATGCTAGGTGTGCCTGTGCTAGGTGTGCTATGTGCATGTGTGCCCAAAATATGCTAGGTGTGCTATGTGCATGTGTGCCCAAAATCTTGTAAGAAGGTAGAAATGGAGAAGAAGGGATTGTGGTGTGACCACTCCCCATGAGGGGTGCTTTCTCTCTCTCTCTCAAGCACACATGCCCTCTGGCAAGATTTAAAAAGAAATCTGTCAGCATTTCAGTAGATAAATTCCATAATGTATATGAAATTATTGAGTTAAGGAAGTTTTGTTCACATACAGATTTTTCTTAGTCGCATCTTTTGTTGGAAAAAAGAAAGCAAGGAACACATAAACCAAGAAGTGCTTTAAGCAGCCAGCCATGCTGTTTCCCCTTGCAGTGAGTTCGATGTGTGGGAAAGTCCACTTGGTATTAAAAAGCATTGTGGAAATTAATCTGCTCTATTTCCTTCATCTTCTCAACTTGGGAGGGCATGAACACCACTGTTTTGGTTCACTCCGGAGGGAGATGTCTACTTGTCTGCTGTTTTCTTTTGTGTCAAGACAATGACAGTGGTTGAAATTACAGGATAGAATATGAGAATGTTAAGTAAAGCTGCGAAATCCCACAGTCTCCTTTATTCAATTCAAAAAGATGAATAAACAGATGTAAAATCATCCAGGGGCTAAAATAAAAACAAAGATTGATGGAAATTTAACATTATTTTCCCCTTTGAAGTGGAAATAGCTGTTACATATCTTCTAAATGTAAAGGTAATAACTGGTTATAGCAAAAATGTAAGCACATGGAAATATAGAAAGTAGGGTGAAAGGCTGTCATAATACTCCCACCCTGTCCCCCAAAGGAAAGCCCATGAACATGATTCTATGGAAGGGTGTCCTTTGTGGGAGGGCCCCATCAGGACACTGATGGAACAAAGCCCCCCACCCTCATTCTGTGACCAACCCCTTAGGGCTTGCAACTTGCAGTCATTTGAGCACAGAGTTGCTACAGTGAGTCCCAGGATGGGCCTGCTATGATCTGATCCAGGTCTGAGGCAGTAGTCAACATCCACATATCACCAGGCTACAGTGCGATGGGTGTTGCCTTCAATTCCCTATATTACATTATGCATCTGATCCCACAGTGGGGTTAAGAACTATTCACATCACTGTCCTATGAAACCAAGCCTTAGGGTTGCTGAGTTGGCTGGCTGTGAGCTGGGATGTCCAAACCCTATTGGCTCTGGTGCCAAAGCCTGTAATCTAATTTGCTACTTCTGGAAAACTCTCCTCTCAAAGGTAAATGCCTGTGCTTACCTTAGCCAGAGAAACTGGGCTTGCTCTAGACTCCTTGGCTCCTTTAGATGGACAAGAGAAATTTCTTTTGGTAGGACAGTGTGGTTTATCTTAAGAGCCACCAGGTGTCTCTCTGACCAAAACAACCTCTCAGTCTGTAGCCAAAACCCAAATCTTTACTTACTTATTTATTATTTATTTATTTTTATTATCATCATAATCTTCTTTATATTACATTGAATTGCATATAACTTTACAGTGTATTACATTGCTTTTTCAAAAGGGAATGCCATGCATGTCAGTCAATACAGAGACATTAATCTCCCCACTTCATCATTCAATATCTTTTCTATGTTTTTCCCAATCATCATTATTATTATTCAAATTATTTTTTTTAAACAGTCAGTCATTATTTCTCATTTTGCTTGTAAAAAGACTTTACCCATCATAAAATACTTCTCAGACCAATCCAGTTGAGAATACTATACATGTCATCAACAGGTAATAAGCCATATCTGTTTCCCACTAGCGTCCTGCCTCTCTATTTGTTCTCTTGCTATCTTTCTCTAT